AGAAGGAGATTCCATCTCAATAAAAATAAATTTAAAAAAAAGAGCTCTGCTCTCAGTGGAAGGGATAAGGATGAACAATAGAAAAGGTAACTGTAAGAATTGCTCCCCTTTAGAGCTCTTTCTGTCCCTGGTGTATGCATCTATTATTACAGTGTCCTATATGCATCCTATTATCCAGCTGTGTCCTTGAGGAGAGAGGCTTTATATAACATTAGCAAACACTTACAAATCGCTTACTATATGCCAGGCATTGTTCTATTTGCTTTCCCTATATTAACTCATTTAATCCTTACAGCAACCTTGTAAGATAGGTGTGTTATTATTACCATTTTATGGTTGATGGAATCAAAAAACAGAGGTCACATATAGATTGAAGGAGGAAGCCAGACAGAGCCCCACACCTCTGCTCGTATATCTCAAACCCTAACACAGTACGGGCTTAATGCATTTTATTGAACTAAGTGCAAAAAAAGTGACGATGCTGATGCTATGAGCCTATAAAATACTAAGTGCACCAAAAATACTTGCTAAAAAAATGACTTACCAGAGGCTCTGCCAAGAAGATGACTGGTTTAAAGCAATCCTACCACAGAAGCTGCCACCCACCTGGAGGTAACTCTAGGAAGGGGGAGGTCACCATAAGAGAGGTGCTGCTTCATCTACTTGTCACTGCAAATCTATCTCTGAATTTTAATTTGGCTCCATTACTTGAGGCATTTGAGTTTCTTCTGACATCATGACCTCCTTTCCATTCTTACTGTTACCACCTCTATTCAATGACTGGTTACTTCCTCCTCAAATGATGAATTAATGACACTGGTCTCATCTCTCTGAACTCTACGCCACCCTATACATTTCTGCTAATCTTTCTGGCCGGGCGCAGTGGCTCGTGCCTGTAATCCCAGAACTTTGGGAGGCCGAGGCGGGCAGATCACCTGAGAGTGGGAGTTTGAAACCAGCCTGGCCAACATGGAGAAACTCCATCTCTACTAAAAACACAAAATTAGCCGGACATAGTGGCGCATGCCTGTAGTCCCAGCTATTCGGGAGGCTGAGGCAGGAGAATCACTTGAACCTGTGAGGCGGAGCTTGCAGTGAGCCAAGGTCACACTGTTACACTCCAGCCTGTGCAACAAGAGTGAAACTCCATCTCAAAAAAAAAAAAAGAAAACAAACTTTCTAAAACACAATTCTAATATAGTAAAAATTTTGCATTAACCAGTGCCTTTCAAATTCAAAGTTCTCAGCTCAGCATTCCTGGCCTCCCACTCTCTCCCTGTGATCCATGCACGCTGACCACTCACTCCCTCCTCGCAAACACATTTTTTTCTTTTCTTTTCTTTTCTTTTCTTTTTTTTTTTGAGATGGAGTCTCGATCAGTCGCCCAGACTGGAGTGCTGTCGCGCGATCTCGGCTCACTGCAAGCTCTGCCTCCCGGGTTCATGCCATTCTCCTGCCTCAGCCTCCTGAGTAGCTGGGACTACAGGCGCCCACCACTATGCCTGGCTAATTTTTTTGTATTTTTAGTAGAGATGGGGTTTCACTGTGTTAGCCAGGATGGTCTTGATCTCCTGACCTCGTGATCCGCCTGTCTTGGCCTCCCAAAGTGCCGGGATTACAGGCGTGGGCCGCCGCGCCCAGCCAACAAACACACTTTTGCATATTCACATCTTATCTCAGAGTTGTTCAACCTAGTGTCCCTGGCTCTAGACAACTCCGGTGGAAGAGACTTATAGAAGAAAGAAGACAGACCCAGCATTCACACTTCTGCCTGTCACTCAGAGTAGCAAGATCTAGGGCAAGTGATTCAATCTCTTTGAGTGTTAGTTTCTTCATCAGTAGAGGAAGTATAATCCTATCTATCATGCAGAATTGTTAAGAGATCATTTATTTGGCCAACAAGCATTTGTTGAGCACCTAATATGTGGCAGGTATTGTCAGCCCTAGAGATGTTAAACAAAACATGGAGCTGGCCTTCTAGTGAAGGTGCAAGAGAGACATGAAACAAACAAGCAAGTATTTATAAAGTGCTCAGTGCATGTCTGGCACGTAGTTCTCTCTCAGTGAATGATTGCTTTTCCAGATATTGCAAAAGGCCTAATAATAGATGTATGTTTATCTACCCAAGAGAGTGCCGAACAGAAATGTTTAGTGTTTTTGGATTCAACTGGAATACTCAGAAAGTTTCGTGAAAGAAGAGGCAGTTATCGAACAATGTACTATCAATGTATTTCAATTACTGGATACAGCACCATACAGACAGCAAGTACTAAATACTTGTTTATTGAATAAATGTTGGCTAATGCATAATGATCAGGATCTTTAATCAATAGTTTTATTGCCTTTAATTATAAATAGATGAGCAGGTTACTTAAAAAGTCTTGGCTGGGCACGGTGGCTCACGCCTGCAATCCCAGCACTTTGGGAGGCCGGGGTGGGCGGATCACCTGAGGTCAGGAGTTCGAGACCAGCCTGACCAACATGGTGAAACCCCTTCTCTATTAAAATACAAAAATTAGCCAGGAGTGGTGGTGTGCACCTGTAATCCCAGATACTCGGGAGGCTGAGGCAGGAGAATCGCTTGAACCCAGGAGGCAGAGGTTGTAGTGAGCTGAGATCTTACCACTACACTCCAGCCTGGGCGACAGAGCGAGACTCTGTCACACACACACACACACACACAGAAAGGCTCCCAAACCCAAATGTCATTCACCACCTGCTGGCTGGCGCCTAAAGTCTACACAGTTAGAGTGTAGGTTTTGGTTCAAGTCCTGCTCCCCTACTCACTAGCAGTGCAGTTTGAGGTAAGTCTCTTGAGATTCTATTTCCCATCTTTAAAATGGAGATGGTGGAGACAATATGCTCCTCTTAAGGGCATTGAGAGGATCAAATATGAGAATACATAGAAACTGCTTAGGATAGTGCCTGCTACACAGCAAATGTCAATAAATATAAGAATTAATGGTATGGCCACCACAGTTTCATCCCATTGCCAAAGGTTTTGTCCATTTGTTCACACCAAGGGAAAGATAGCCTAGTGGTGAAGGTCTGCCATTTACCCCACAGTGAGAGTGACTCTTAGATTCTACCCTATTAGAGGTAGGAACCTGAAAACAGAGATGACTAAAACATGATTCCTGTTTTCCAAGAACATTCGATCCAGTCCGGTGAATCCGGTCCCTAATGGCTAATAACAGTACAAGAATTTCCCATTTACAAAGCACTTTCTCATATACCATTCTGTGCATCTTCACAACTCTGTAAGAGGGATGTTACCAGCCCCATTTGGAATTGAGGAAACAGGTTTGTTTAGGGCATGTGCCTCACAAAGGTCACATAGCTAGTGAGTAGCTAGGTCAGGATCAGAATGTGTGCCCTGTTCACAAGCCTGTGGGACCTGAGAGAATGGATTTTGATAGGTGCAAAGGGACGAAGGACCTGGGATTCCTGAGGGAGCTCAGAGAGTAGAAGAAGGAGTAAGCTGGATGCAAGTAACAACTTCCTCCTCCTTTGTCCCACCAGCAGTAGAAGGCAAGTGACAGTTATGAGAGAAATGGTGGGGTGGCGGAGAGAGCTCCCTGGGGAGAGGTCTTGTCTATAGGAGTCTCCTTTGATTACTAGCCCCTCCCCACCCTTCCCGTTGTTTTCCCACTGCCCCAGTTTTATCAAAGGGCAATTAAGCCCCTTTTTCTCAACAGTCTAAGGAGGCTACATTTGTCACTCGGGTCTTTTATTTTCAGGTCTGCCTTCTTCTCCTTTTTTTTTTTCCAACTAATGTGTCCTCTTATAATTAAGAACAGTCACTTGTAATTAGGCCCATTTAGTGCTTTACAGTATAATACTTTTAACCTATTTCACCTTGTAATTAGGGACCTCCACCCAGGTATACATACCCAGGAAACAGATATAGATAAAGGGAGAGGGTAGGGGTTGGGTCAAAGGCACACATGGATATATGTACACACAAGCACACACATACACACAGGACTGCATGCTCACTGGGTCCGTGCATGGGGATATCTGTGAGTGCAGCAGATGCACTGTTGCCTTTGTACCAATGCTGGAGCCATGTGGTTGTCAGGAGAGCATTTGGTTGTATGTTCAAGTATACTTGGGAACAGAAGGCGGGTATGGAGGGAGTTCCAGTTGCGTGTGAATGTGTTAGGGAAAGGGAGTAGGCAAGCTGAAAAGTGATCAGCTCCTATAAACTCTATCCAAGGAAGGAATTTATTGTTAATAGATAATACATGACACATGGTTCCAAATTCAAAAGGTACAAAAAGCTATACAGTAAAAAGAGCTCTCCCTCCTCTCCATCCCCAACCATCCAATTCTCTTCTCAAAAGGCAATTTTGGGTCAGGCGCAGTGGCTCACGTCTGTAACCCCAGCATTTTGGGAGGCCGAGGCAGGTGGATCACTTGAGGTCAGGAGTTTGAGACCAGCCTGGCCAACATGGCAAAACCCTGTCTCTATTAAAAATACAAAAATTAGTCAGATAAGGTGGCTCGCACCTGTGGTTCCAGCTACTCTGGAGGCTGAGGCAAGAGGATCGCTTGGACCCAAGAGGCAGAGGTTGTAGTGAGCTGAGATCTCGCTACTGCACTCCAGCCTAGGCAACAGAGCAAGATTACATTTAAAAAAAAAAAAAAAAAAAAAAAGACTGAGCATGATGGCTCATGCCTGTAGTCCCAGCACTTAGGGAGGCTGACGCGGGCAGATGACGAGGTCAGGAGTTCAAGACCAGTCTGGTCAATATGGTGAAACCCTGTCTCTACTAAAAACACAAAAATTAGTCTGGCGTGGTAGCGCGTGCCTGTAATCCCAGCTCCTTGGGAGGCTGAGGCAGGAGAATCGCTTGAACCCGGGAGGCGGAGGTTGCAGTGAACCGAGATTGTGCCACTGCACTCCAGCCTGGGCAACGGAGCGAGACTCTGTCTCAAAAAAAAAACAAAACAAAAGGATTGGCGGTGCGCGGGGCCGGCAGGCAGTTGGTGTGAACGGGACCGGAGCTGAGGCAGGAAGAGCCGACGCCACAGTGGAGAAGGAGGAGGCTGGCGGCGGCATCAGCGGGGAGGAGGCTGGCGCAGTATGACCAGCAGATCCGCCTGTGGGGACTGGAGGCCCAAAAACGGCTGCGGGATGCTTCTTGTCCGCATGAAAGGACTCGGGGCTGAAATTGCCAAGAATCTCATCCTGGCGGGAGTGAAAGGACTGCCCATGCTGGATGACGAACGGGTATCTCCAGAAGATCCCAGAGCTCAGTTCTTGATTCGTACTGGGTCTGTTGGCCGAAACAGGGCTGAAGCCTCTTTGGAGCAAGCTCAGAATCTTAACCCCATGGTGGATGCGAAGGTGGACACTGCGGATATAGAGAAGAAACCAGAGTCATTTTTCACTCAGTTTGATGCTGTGTGTCTGACTTGCTGCTCCAGGGATGTCATAGTTAAAGTTGACCAGATCTGTCACAAAAATAGCATCAGGTTCTTTACAGGAGATGTTTTTGGATACCATGGATAGACATTTGCCAATCTAGGAGAATATGAGTTTGTAGAAGAGAAAACTAAAGTTGCCAAAGTTAGCCAAGGGGTAGAAGATGGGCCTGATACCAAGAGTAAAACTTGATTGTCTGAGACAACGATGGTCATAAAGAAGGTGGTCTTCTGCCCCGTTAAAGAAGTCCTGGAGGTGGACTGGAGCAGTGGGAAAGCAAAGGCTACTCTGAAGCGCACCACCTCTGGCCACTTTCTGCTTCAAGTGCTCCTCAAGTTCCGCACAGAAAAAGGAAGAGATCCCAGTTCTGATACTACGGGGAAGATTCCGAGTTGTTGCTCCAGATACGAAACGATGTGCTTGACTCACTGGGTATTAGTCCTGACCCGCTTCCTGAGGACTTTGTCAGGTACTGCTTCTCCGAGATGGCCCCAGTGTGTGCAGTGGTTGGAGGGATTTTGGCACAGGAAATTGTGAAGGCCCTGTCTCAGCGGGACCCTCCTCACAACAACTTCTTCTTCTTCGATGGCATGAAGGGGAATGGGATTGTGGAGTGCCTTGGCCCCAAGTGAACCCAAGACTTGGCAGCCCCGGAGATGCCAATTGCAACATGCCCGCCTGTATTCCCTGTCCCCCTGCTTCATGAAGGCATCTCCCGGCAAGGAAAACTGAAGTCATTGGCCCAATACAAAACATTTCCTGCGACGAAGGAGGTGGTGCCGTCATGCTGCTTCCCATCACCAGCAGCTGCTCGACAAGGGGCGCAGGGCAGCTGTCTTCGTTCCAGCACCGTTCAGACAGCCTGGCATCCCGGGCCTGCCAGCTCCCCTGAGTGAAGAGCACTTCCAAGCACCCCTCTGCCCCTTCTCTGTCCTCATGCTGTCACGGCCTCGCCAGCCCTCTGGGGTATTGTGGGTGATGCCTGCCAGGAACGAGCATGCTCTGTTGCTTAGGAGCCTCTTGCCACCTTCTCGGACTTACTCCCCACCTGACGTCTTGCAGAGAAGAGTGTGACTTCAGATGGAGAGTAAGCCCAGGCCCCGTGAGGCACCAGTGGAAGTGCAGCTCCAAGTTCAGACAGGTGCCCTTAGAGAGGAAACCTACCACAGGCAAATGCATTGGAGTTTGAAACCCTGACAAACAACAGGTGGCATCTGGTGTGCTGTTCTTGAGTTTTCATTTAGGATTAGTTGAGTTCCAGCTGGGTTTTGGGAGAAAGGAGATGTTACCAAGTCTTGGATGTTAGGGCAAGACCCTGCAAGTTGCGTATTAGTAGGAGAGCTTGTCTTTCAAGGCAGGTTCCTGGGGCTTCCGGGCTAGGAGGGAGGAGCCTGCCCTTTTAGCAGAACCCCAGTCACCCATGCGGCCCATTCAGAGGCTGTTGCATTTCAGGGCTGTGTTGGACCTTTGTTTACCTCCTAAACCACAGCTGTTTGTGTTTCACATATGTTCTGAATTTTCCTTGGTTATTTTTAAAGGAATGATAATGAAGTCACTTGCTTTAGGGGGAAAAAAAAGTCAATCTTAGGTAACAAGAAACACACAGGCAATCTTTATTACCAGAGCTATTCTAAATAGAGTTTTCCTAACAGAGTGATAGCCAAGTGTACACCTTGTTCTAAACCTTGCTTTTTTCATTTAAAAATATATATCTGTTGTCTGTTACTGTTAACAGTCTTGGTTAGTGTTCCACATTTGTCTAGACAGAGCTTTTCTCTCTCTTTTTAATACCTGTATTGTGTTTTGTGTTCATACCACTATTGCTTAATTTACAACTCTCTCGGGAAGTAAAAATGTTTTTTCTCATTTTAGGAAAGACATTTTTCTCTCTTTTTTCTTTCTTTCTTTTTTTGTTTTTTCTTTTTGAGATGGAGTCTTGCTCTGTTGCCCAGGCTGAGTGCAGTGGTGTGATCTCTGCTCATTGAAACTTCTGCCTCCTGGGTTCAAGTGATTCTCCTGCCTCAGCCTCTGGAGTAGCTGGGACAACAGGCGTGTACTACCACACCTGGCTAATTTATATATATATATATATATATATATATTTTTTTTTTTTTTTTCTTTAAGCAGAGATGGGGTTTTACCATGTTGGCCAGGCTGGTCTTGAACTCCTGACCTCAGGTGATCCGCCTGCCTCAGCCTCCCAAAATTCTGGGTTTACGAGCATGAGCCACTGCACCCTCCTTCTCTCATTTTTATGCTAAGGAAACTTAAGCATGTTCAGAGCAACTCAGGCAAGTGTAGACCCTGAAAACCTCAGGCAGGAATTCCAGCAAGGATTTAGGGCAGGAGGGAAAGGTAGTTAGGTAAAGGACCTGCCTTAGTGAGGAGGGGGCTGCAGGTGTGGTTGGAATTCTGAGACACCAGACATCAGAGGTGCCTGAAATTTCCCTGCTTGGCTATAATGCTCTAGGGTGGCCAATCAGTCTGTAAACACTTACTGAACACTTATTAGTGATCTATGGCTTCATAACAATTTACTCCAAAACTTAGTGGCTCACAACAATGATAGTCAATTTTTATCTCTAATGATGTATGTAAGTCAGGAATTCCAAAGCAGCTTGGTTGGGTGTTTCTGGCTCAGACCTTCTCATGAAGTGGTGGTCAACATGTCAGCCAGGGCTGCAGTCATCTGAAGGCTTGACTGGGGACAGAGATCCATGTTTTCAAGGTGGTTCACTCACACAGCCAGCAAGTTGGTGCTGGTTTTCAGCGAGAGCCTCCGTTCCTCTCTCTGTGCGTCCCTCCACAGAGCTGCTTGAGTGTCTGTATTTGTTTTGAAATTGTTGCTAGAAAACTACCACAAACTTAGTAGGTTAAAACAGTACCCATTTGGCCGGGCGCAGTGGCTCACGCCTGTAATCCCAGCACTTTGGGAGGCCGAGGTGGGCGGATCACAAGGTCAGGAGATCGAGATCATCCTGGCTAACACGGTGAAACCCTGACTCTATTAAAAATAGAAAAATTAGCCAGGCGTGATGGCGGGCGCCTGTAGTCCCAGCTACTCGGGAGGCTGAGTCAGGAGAATGGCGTGAACCGGGAGGCGGAGCTTGGAGTGAGCTCACGCCACTGCACTCCAGCCTGGGCTACAGAACCAGACTCCGTCTCAAAAACAAACAAACAAACAAACAAAAAACAGTACCCATTTATTATCTTAGTTCTGTAGGTCAAAAGTGCAGGCAGGCTCAACTGGTCTCTCTGCTTCCAAGGCCAAAATCAAGGTGTCAGCTGGTCTCGGTTCTCACTGGGAGGTTCTAGGGAAGATTCTGCTTCCAAACCCATTGAGGTTGTTGCCAGAATTGTTCCATGCAGTTTACAGCATTGAGGTCTCCATTTTCTGGCAGGCTGTTAGCTGAGGGTTGCTCTCAGCTTCCAGAGGCCACTCTCAGGCCCAGGGGCTCCCTCTATTGTTAAATCAGCAACAATGCATCAGGTCCTTCTTGAGCTTTGAATCTCTCTGCCTTCCTCTTCTGCCCCCAGCTGAAGAAAACTCAGCTTTTAAAGGGCTCATAGGATTAGATTGGGCCCACTCACTCTTCCTATTGTAACATCAACTGATTAGTAAACTTAATTACATCTGCAAAATCCCTCTTGCTATGCAACATAAGATAGTGATGGGAGGCCGGGCATGGTGGCTCGCACCTGTAATCCCAGCACTTTGGGAGGCCGAGGTGGGCAGATCACTTGACATCAGGAGTTCAAGACGAGCCTGGCCAATATGGCAAAGACCTGTCTCTACTAAAAATACAAACAACAACAACAACAAAAAAACAATAGCTGGGCCTGCTGGGATGCACCTGTAGTCCCAGCTATTTGGGAGGCAGAGGCAGGAGAATCACTTGAACCTGGGAGGCTGAGCTTGCAGTGAGCTGAGATCATGCCACTGCACTCCAGCCTGGGTGACAGAAAGAGACTCTGTCTCAAAAAAAAAAAAAAAAAAAAAAAGTGATTGGGACACACTAGAGTGCAAAGATTATAGGGGCCAGCAGAGTATGAGATTTCCAGTTCTTCCGCATCTTCACTAACATTTGGTAGTATCTTCTTTTCTCACTTTTACTATCCCAGCTGGCCATTTAACACCATTAATTCAGCAAGCACTTACTGAGTCTCTACAACTTTGTGCTGAGTGCCTAAAATCACGTAAACATGAACCAAGTAGGTACTCAATAAATATTTGTTGGCTGATTTTCCAGATGTTAGAGACATAAAATTAATTAGACATGAACTCTGCTCTCAAGGAGCTTAAAAGTAAATATGTAGAGAAAGACTGATGACCAGCACATAAATAACACAATAAAAAAAGCAATAAGGGCCAAAAGGAGGGGAATTCAGAAGAAAGAGAAAATGTTTTTTAATTTAGAAAGACTCAAATCAAGGGAAACATCCTTGAGTAAGTGGCATTTGAATGGGTTTTGTAAGAACAAATTAGGATTTAGATATGCAGAGGTGATGGAGAACAGTGGTAGTGGCTAATATTTCAGACAGAAAGAGCATGAGTGAGGCTGGGCGTGGTGGCTCATACCTGTAATCCTAGCACTTTGGGAGGCTGAGGCGAATGGATTGCTTGAGCTCAGGAGTTTGATACCAGCCTGGACAACGCGGTGAAACTCCAACACTACAAAAAAATACAAAAATTAGCCAGGCATGGTGGTACGTGCCTGTAGTTCCAGCTACTTGGTAGGCTGAGGCAGGAGGATCCCTTGAGCCTGGAAGATTGAGGCTGCAAAGAGCTGAGATTGCACCACTGCACTCCAGCCTGGGTGCAGAGTGAGACCCTGTCTCAAAAAAAAAAAAAAAAAAAAAGAAAAAAGAAAAGAAAGAAAGAAAGAAAGAAAAAAGAAAGGAAGAAAGAAAAGAAAAGAAGCCTCAGTGATAAAGATTCTCCGGTCTAAGAACTGCACACTCGGAGCTTTCTGAACACTTTCAATGCCCAGAGGTATTTTGTTTGATCTTCTCAATCAAATTTAAATTTGAATGCATTTCGTAGAGCATGCATTTTGTAATTCTAGTTCAGTCAATACAAGATCCTGTTGTCCTAAACCCCTCTTCAGCCTCCTCATAGATTTATGGTATCCACCTGGCATCTGAGGGATTTGTAAGTTTGAGAACATGGAGTTCAATCCGTTTGTTTTACACATAAGAAAACTGAAGCTCCAAAAAAGTTAAATGACTCAAGGAAGTACTGAGAGTCAGTGGTGGAGTTTCTACCTGAATTCCAACCTCTTGATGTCCTGTCTGAGCTTCTTTGGCAGAGGCTGATAGACCAAGGGGCTCCGTCACTCTTAGATAAACCCGCTTTGGCTGTCAACCAATATGTATGTTTGTTTTTTCTTGAGAGAAGTTTTATAAAGGAAGAGGGAGGAGTTCAAGATTCCTAGGCAAAGAAGAGGAGAGAGGCTGAAATATGCTTTCTTTTTTTCATTTTGCTTGGACCTAAATGGCAGGAAATTTCTTAACTAAAATTAAAAGGCAACTAGAATATCTCTTCCCATCTCATGAAATACATTGCTTTCTAAAGTCAACCGAATCCAAGCAGCTGACTTTCAAAATGGGGCCGAAGGAAACTCTAAAGTGCCACCTGGTGGCCATCTTCAACACACGCGAAAAGGAAAAGGGATTGCAGTGAGATACTTGATTCAGGTAGGGCTGATAGCGTAGAAAACTCCCCAGCAAAAAAAGTGGTATTAAAAGTAACAAGAAA